ATCCTCCCGCTGCCTTTCGTTTTAAAAATGGTAAATTTAGGTTTGCCTCGACTTTTATAAACTAATGCCTCTTAAATGCATGTTGTGTATTACTGTTGGTACAGATACCAGGTGAACACTGTGCTTTGCCTGCTAGTAGTTTAAATTAATTTCAGCTGCACACTTTCAAGAGTATTCAGATTTTAACATGCATTTCTAAGTAGTATTTTAGTTCACTCTTACTCAGTGACTTCAGTGTTGTTACACCTCTGAAACATTTTTTGCAGTTTCTTTGTGATACCAGAACTATTTCACTTAAACGTTTAATTTCCTGAGATATTGTCAATTTATTTTCAAGCAAAACTCTCAAAAAGAGCCGAGGATTTATTAGTTTTGATTATGTTGTTCAGCTAAATATGGACGCTTATTAGTTTTTTGTTTGTTTTTAATTTTTCAGGTTTGCGTCGCAACACCTCGTGTTTCTGAGCCATGATCACAGTGCCGATTACCTTTCCATTGGATCCAAGCACCTGGACCTGCTGAAGGCATCCATCAGTCCACGGATCATCACAACGTGGACTAACTTTTTATTTACAGTACTTGGTTAAACTGTGATCTTGAAACTGGAGCACCAGATATGCAAAAATCTTCCTGCAGACTTTGTTTGCTACCCTGACACTGCAGTCATCCTGGACGGGGCTGAGCCGCTCTTCCTCTCTCCTCTTCCTCTCTCCTCTTCCTCTCCCCCAGAGTGACGAGTTTTCATCACCAGTAAAGGCGAACAAGTCTGACGTCTGATTAGCTGCTAGAAAGTATATTATATATTCACTGTTCATTTTGTTATCCTGTTTGTACCTACAATAAAATTGAATATCATTTGTAATACTCTACATTTTACAAACCTTTTTTTTCCTTTTCTCAGTTTTTATGTTATATCAAGTATTTACATGTAGATCAGGAATTAAAGTGAGATGTTAAAATGCAACACTTTTAGGTAATACCAGCAAAGAAATGTGAATATTAAGCAATATGTAGTTAGTCATCTAATTTAATATACTGAATAAGGCTGGATGATATGACTTACAAGATTTTTTTTCATATCAGATTTGATTTTAATCAATACCTCCCATCCTCAATTTCTATAATAAAATCACAGAAAGTATTTTCAAAAAGTGCCTTTATTTCAATCATCTGTTCTTTGCGTTGTATGAGGGAGCATTACGGTCAGGATACAAGAAATTTTAATTGCAAGATTGCAGTCATCGTTACAGCAGAATAAAGGTGCAATTTTATAACAATGTCTTAAAATTACAAGAAGTCGTTTTAATGAGAAATAAAGATTCAGACTGATCTGACGTAACTAGCTCAGTCCATGTGGTTCTGACATTTGTCAGTAATCAACAGGATGTACATTTCCACCTCAACTGACCAGGTAAGCATTAAGGTAAAAATAAAAAATAGAGCAAATACTGTAAACAAAATG